CATAAGTTTTCGAGTTACTAGATATTGATCTGGAGGATGGTGGCAAAGAAATCGTGACAGAGTTTGTTATTGTTGATCTGGTGGCGATACGCTCGTTATTTGGACTGGTTGCGTGCCCAGAATGCGGTGAAAGAAGCGTCACTATTTCAAAGGCCAAGAAAGATTAGGGCTGTGTTCGAAGCTCATAGTCACGTGCGGCAGTTGTGACTTTCGCGAAGAGCGTTTTTGGTCCCCACGTATAGCCGACGAGATCGACGCCAAAATAAGGCCGTTTGAAGTTAATATGCGTGCCATGAAGGCCATCAACAGTATCGGCAAGGGGCAACGGCTCTTTTGGACTTCTTTGCCGGGATGGATATTTCGCATCGAGGGCTTCGCCGCAAGAGTCACCAAAGCCACATGAATATAATGGAAGAAGCCTGACAATTATAGCCTGACAGCGGGACATTCCATGCACTCACAGAAAAAGAGGTGTACGGCTTCATAAACGTGGCCAAAAAGGACTGCATAAATCATGTGCACAAGCGTAAGGGAGCTGTCTTACGTACCCTTGTAGAGAAAAAAAAAGCTCAAAGTGGCTCACTTGGTGGAAAGGGCAGACTTACGCAAGAAAAGATCAAGAAGATCACCTCATACTATGGCTACTCGTTGAGATGCCACAGGAACGATGTTCCAGGTATGCAGAAGGCTGTTCTAGCAACTTTGAACCACATGTCTTCAACTGACGAGGCACCAAAGCATGACCTTTGCCCTGAAGGCCCTGAATCCTGGTGCAAATTTCAGAGAGATCTTGCGAAAAATGAGAAGCCACCACCACACAAGGACAGCCTGCTTGATTTCGTAACTGAGGCATTGGAGCCTCTGTTTAGGCGGCTGAGCGACAATACACTCTTGGAAAGGTGCAGCGATGGGATCACCCAGAACCCAAGTGAGAGCCTGCACGCTATGATTTGGCAGCAGGCCCCTAAAACTCAGCATGCATCCTTGCGGAGCACTGAAAGGGCAGTTGCTGAAGCCATCAGCCGCTTCAACCAAGTCACAAGCAAGAGCAACGTGGAAATTGCTGTGAAGCTGGGCTACAGCGCTGGCAATAACTTGGTGCATCGCAGCCTTGAAAAGGACAAGGGCAGGCTGCAAAAATCGCGAAGAGAGCATCTCGACAGCAGTTCGATAAAGGAAAGACTTTCAAAGCGTCACAAGCCAGCAGGGGACTCTGCTTATAGCCCTAGTCTGCTGTAAACAGTCATGATGGCAAATAGTGAGAATTTTTGCTAAAATAAATATTCTTGATTTTAGACCTAAACATTGTGTAAATCAATTGTCTATCCAAGGACAACATTATTACACGATTGTTTTGTGTTCCTTTCACTTACAAGGCACTGGAAGGACCACAAAGTAAAAAAATAATAATTTTCATGCTGAGTCAATGACTATTTTGTAGTTCTAAAACAAGCTGTGAGCAGTATTCTGGGTGGGTACAGTGAAATTTAGCGTGGCCATTTATCCTATAATATAGAGCTACAGAATGATGTCATTAATATCGCTGTAGCTTCGTTTTAGAAAAAGTTAAAGTTGCTAGAAACTTCAAACGCGTTTTTCTCAGTTTGATGTTTTTGCACATTGCATTCGGCCTTACGGGGGTTTGTCCTATGTTAAACTTGAGTAATGGCGACAAAGTTGGTATCATTTTATTTGTCTGGACATGATCTAGGGGGTGATGCTATTTCATTTTTCTAGCATCACTTCAAAAATTACCATTGAAGATTTTAGTGAGAAAAATTTATTGCAATATAGTGACCATAAGTGTTCGTCCGTTTTCTTGCTTATAAAATGCCTTCAAATGGATAAAAATAGCATTACCCCCTACAGCAAGTCTCCAGCATTGGGATTATGCATTCACTTTTTGGAGTTAGCAAGAATAAATTACCAAGAAGTCCCAAAAGAAGTATGTAAAAAATTAAGATTTAGACCTTCATATTTTCTAAACCACTTGAAATATCAAGAAACAAATTAGAGATTTGAAATCAGCATGAAAAACTAGCTTAAGTAGTGAAGTTTGGTTAAGATTGAGCAAAAAATTTAAAAAAAAAATTAGCACCGAAAGTTGTTCCTTGAATGGAACAACTTTCGCTGATATGATTGGTTTCTTAATTAAATGCTTCAACCTACTTCACCATTAGGTAAACGGAACTCCTGTTAATTGGAACACGTTTTCAGGTCCCTTTAGGTTTCGTTTAATGAGAGTCTACTGTATTATCAGCAGCAGTTGCATCTGCCGCAGATGATATTTGCTACATGCACATTGCCAGCCTCTTCAACCACGCACGTGTGGCCTAACAAAGAGAATGATCCCTGTCTTCCTGGGCTCCGAGTTTAACCAGTCAGCGAGCGCATCAACCACTGTTTTAAATACATCTTGTAAATAGTCGACGGAGCAAGCAACTTGTCATTGACGCAACAATGTAAATGCCCTGTCAAGGCCATGAACCTTCCTTTCAAGTACTCATATTTTTTTTTTGTGGCTAAGGATATCGGACTTTAATTTTTTTTCTGTGTATTGAGAAAGTGACATGACGATCAGATATATCTTATGTTAGGCAGTAATATGTAAGGAAGTTAGTATCTATTCCTAGTTTGCTTGCTTCCCATGCCTACTCAAACATACATGCTCAAAGGAAACTAAAGGCAAATTTTTAGTCGATATCGATTGTTGAAATGGTGCTCCAGAAACCTCATAGTACTACATGTGTACCAAGAAAATTCTTACTTAAATAAAATGCTGTTTTTTAGTGATACGCTTGGAATTAGTAAAGTTGACGCTGGCCCAGATGCATGGCACTTAGCTACTTCAAGCACAGGAATTCTTTTTGCGGCACCCAGTAGAAAGTCACGCCTGTTTCTTTGCTGCAGCTCAAGCAGCATCAGGCAACCATTCGGCCATCATTCAACATCCCATGCATCGGGCATTTTGTTGAACTTTCCGTCACAGCGAATTTTGCTAGCATGCAAAGCATATAGGTAGCAGTACGTGATACTAAAACTACCACAGATGTGAACGTGTTAGTGAAGCGCAGTTCAGCAAAAACGAATCTTTTGAACCACTCCTGTCGTTCTTCATGGTAATGCCAAGCAGTTATTTTTTCCGTGAATCAAATGGAAATGGGCAAACAGCATTTTATCGCATGTTGTAATGCTTGGAATGTTTTTCTTTTTTGCCTATTTTTTTCTTTTATTGCAACGGGTTTGATTACTGGTGATTCTAGGATATCTTTACTGGGTTGGCACCCACTACAGGTAAGTGAGTTGCTCCAGGGGGGCAGGGAGGCGAAGGACATATGCCTTGTGTTTTGACTATGCTTGTGCTTGGGGGAGGAGGGGGGCAAACGGGGCGGAGCAAGCGAAAGTCCTGGGGGGCTCCCCCCCCCCCCCCCATACCCCCACTGGTGACTCTCCTGAGCATTTCATACCTCAATCATTTTCTGGTGGTAGCGAAGACATTGCTGCTATTAGTGTACAACTTGCTTTGCTTATTTTACCAGGTTGAAAACTTTTGAAGAATATTTTATTAAGGTGATATATTAGGTGATAGTTAGACTCGCTATTTCCTGAATGTTCAATGTGCTTTTTTTCCTTTCTTCTTGTGCAGGTTGTAGCTTCATCCAAAGTGTATGTATTTGATGTCCAAAAAATGAAGAAAGATCTGTTTGGCCATGGATTGAAGGAAATATTTGAGTCTGATGGCATAGAAAAGGTGAAGCCACTGCCTGTTAGCACCTTTTAAATATATTTGTTTGCCCAACACTGATTCGATAAGAAAAAATAATATTGTCACCCACTAGACAGAAGCAAGAAAAAATGCCAGGCCCCCCATAGAGTGCACAGTACTGTCACAGCAAAAGTTCAAACAGCAGCCCTTTTACAGTTTTCTTTAAGCATGCTTGGGGTAACTACCACAAGCACGCTTGCATGGTACCCACTACACCATAAATCATAATTTTTCTGTAGTAGGGAAGCTTCCACTATGCCATTATTTGTCATTCTTCGAAGAAGTGTGGTATCCGGTACACGTTTGTAAGGCATTATTTGCACTTTGTTGAAGCTGTGGCTGATGACGATAAAGAATTGCACCTGAGCATACCTGCCAACTATTCTGCATTTTTTGTAAATTTACAAGTTTCAACCACTGCTACGATTTCAAAAATCTTGCCTCCAATTCTATAAAAATATTTTATTTACAATAAAAAAAAGTTGAAAAATCTATTAAAACAGCCTAGCCTTCACGATCAGTTTCGGTGCATGGTGAAAGTGAGTCACGGAGGCCAGGAAAACGGTGTTATAGTGTTTTTTCTTTCTTCAACTCGATGTGCCTTGCTTCCTTTTGTTATTCTAGATTATCCATGGTTGCCGAAAACTCTCAGATTGCCTTCACCATCACTACCAAGTTGGCCTCAACAATGTGTTTGACACAATGGCAAGTCATCAGTACACCTTCTCCTCTGTTTAAATGATGATATGAGTCATCAGTGTTTAATTTGTAAGCAGCATAGTTGTGGTAAGCAGCATAGTTGTGAGAACTGGGGAAAAGGGGGGAGGGAGAGGAGCTAAGGATACCATCTTAAACTTTGTTTGAGATGGCATCCTCAGCTTATTCATTAGAATCCCAGCAAATGGAGCTCCTATTAGGCTCTTGGAGCTTAATAGCAGCTCCAGCAAATGTAGCTCCTACACATCTTACTGGTCCTTTCAGAGTCTACTGTATACAGTGAAAAGGGTATGTGGTGCTTGTTAATCAGTGCCACACTATAAGGTGTCATTGCGTAGGCATTGGAGTGACGATAGATGAGGTCTTGTGGAGTCTGATTTGGAGGTTTGCGGCCAGCGTCTTCATTCTCTTCTAACGTTTTTTATTTTGCGACTGCCTGAAACTTATCTACTTGTAGTGAAGGCAAATGAGAAGAAGGCTGCAGTGTTGATGTAAAAAAACAACGGCTTTGTTGTTTAAGGGCTCACACCACTCTACATGCTTGTTGCCACAAACTAAAGTGCTGTAGTCAAGTGCCTGTTGACGAGAGTACACGTCACGCTTTCATGAGTCCAGTGAATAACACATTCAACGGGCGAATGTCATTAGGTGTAAATATCATTCACTGTGCCCGCCTAGCAGCAATAAAAGTGACATAAAGGTCATTAGCAGCAAATGTATTACATGTGCCGTATGACAATGGTATTAGCTTAAATACAGAAATGATCTTTTGTTTATTGTTTGTTGTTTTCCTGTGGGTTCTCAGCACAGATTATCTTCACCTTTTAGAAGTCACCCATGCATGACTTCAGCATTTTGCATTTTTGTGATCTTCTGCTTTTGGTTCTCTTGCACATTTCTGCATTTAACCAACGAAGGCTCTGAATCTTTTAATCATTGATTTGTAAAAAGCGGATTCTGATGACTCCGTTCTTCTTCCAGGTGGCTGACGTGATAATTTACATCAACAAGAAGCTGGAATCTGGTGATTTCCAATTTCCACCATATGTGCGTGACGTCCAGAGCTGCCTTAGGGCCTTTCTGAACTTGACGGGCGATCAGCTGAAGTACACACGATCAAGGCAAAAAAACGAGGTATGTACATAGTATATAGTGTTCATTTAAAGATGCGAAGGTCTTGTAGAGCAAAATTTTGCATTAGGAAAGTGTAGGATGTCTAATTAGTAGAACAGTATCGGTGGCATTGCACTGGCACCAAAGTATGAGTGTAATGTTTTAAAGGGGCCCTGCAACACTTTTCCAGCAGGGTCAGAAAATGGTGCTTATCGGTAGTCGAGGTTCCTGAAGACACGTGAGCCAAACCTTAAAGTGCAGCACGTGGCATGGTACTTACAATTAATTTCCACAGATAATTTTCAACATCAGCTAGGTATTGCTTCCTCTGTTTTTGACAAAAGATACTCATTGCTCAAATGACAGGCCATAATCCCATTGGCTCATATGAGTATCATGACCCTCATGGCTACCGCAGCTTGGGTTGCTAAATCGAGTGAGTGGGGAAGAGGCCGAAAATTGGAAAGACTAGTCAAAAAGCAGTCGACCTGACCTAAGGGCATCAAAAGTAGCTAAAAAAAAAACACGCATCTTTAAAAAGAACTGCAAAGTTATCATTGAAATAACTAAATGGAAGAGACTTCTGGCCCACATCTAAGTAGGTACAGTGAAATCTTGATACAATGAATCTCAAGTGACGCCTGAAAATTATTCATTATTTTGACAAGTTGTAATTGTGAAATGAATAAAAATTCACTTAAAAATTGTAAATGCAAACACATGAGACGCCTGCCTCTGCTGTGTATAAATTCACAACGGCTTTAAGCTCACGTGCATGCTTCGTCGTTGCACTGTGCATGATGTTCGAGTTTGATACGCAGTTTCAGAAGATCTTTTAGCACTGTGGAGGCTACAGAGCCAATAGGAAGGGCAATTAGCACTTACACATGTATTCATTTGCACCGTGTTGTTTGCTTACCGTCTTCATGGCGTCTGCTGGCTGAGTTGTCTATACACAATCATTGCAGTTAACATGGCTAGTTTATTCACATAAATATACAGTACAACTGCAAAAAAAGAAAGTACACCGTGTCACCAACTTGCCTTTTAAAAAAAAATTTGATAACTTAGTGATGTAACGGTGCGGAGACTCACTCGACGTTTTACTTTTTTCCTTTAACTTTTTGTGCTATGTAAGTACAATGTCAGTACCTGCAATGCTTTCTGCTATGTAAATACCTAATGTGAGTACCTTGTGCTATCAAAGTACTAACTGCCGTGCAATTGGTTCCCTCTCGTTGCTTTTGCATATTTTGCCAGTGCCGTTGATTTGCAGAATACTAAGTCATGTATTTCTTTTTTGTTTGTGCACTTCTATTCAATACTTCGAGCATGTTCTGTGTTGTGTATTTATGCCCCACTCCTGCCTAAGGCCTCCATATGAGGCTGGCAGTATGTAATAAATAAATATAATTAATTAATTTCTGTGGGATACACACCTGTTAAGTCAGTGGCTTGGTTAAATTATAAAAAGGGGTATAATTGTTTGAATTTAGCAAAAACTGTACTAGTATTAGAACGCTCAACTCGTTATAAGGGAAACACGGGTGGTCGCTGTTTCTGTTTGACGCTTTTCGTGGCTCTCAAGTGACTGCTTCTCAATCCACACATTACTTTGCCTCTTGCGCTGCACGTTCCTTATCTCTTTGTTTTGTTTCTGCCAAAGGACTGTGCGAAGTTGCATGTTCGATATTTGGAGTTGCAGTGTTCTTAGTCTGGCGACGCAGCCTGAGCAGTGCCTCGGTACGCTTGGCTTAGCAGGTGCAGCTAAGCAAGCAGCATATTTTACTAATAAGGACAAAACATACCTGATGCTTTATCCCCCGAGTAAAATGAAACCAAGCGATGGCTGGCTTCATTAAATTATTGCTGCGAGTGCAGTAGGCATGCAGCAAGACAATCGAAGTGGGCAGTCGCTTTTGCATAAGTGCTGCCATTTTGATTTGTAACCGTAGTTACCGGGGGTAACTGACACAAATAATTAATTGCATATGAAATAAATGTGAAGAATAAACACACCACGTATCGATGTGGCATAATACACAGCAAATGCCAATTTTAGCCAACTCTTTCAATTTTAAGGCACTTGTATCTGGGGCTATGTTTTGCTGTGCAAGCATGTGGCTTTCTTACACCTCGTAGCTTTGGTAGTACTGAACAACAGTGGTGAAACAGAGTATAGTGAAGCATGTGCGAGTTATCATGGGCGACTTGATCCCGTAGTTCCCTCGCGTCGCATTTTTCACTGTTATGGCATTCCTTGTTCTGCTTTGAGAGCTCATCTTTAACGTTCAACCGCCAACCAGAAGGCTAGAAACCACTTTTAAATTTTGGAGGATGCACCCAGCACATCTTTATAGTAAAGGGAAACTGAAGAGAAAAGCCATTTATCTTGTAATAGAAAACCACCATTTACAAATAAGAAAAGTGCCATTGTTTTTTATGAAACAAGGCTTTGTAAATGGCAAAATGTACAGAAAAGAAATAAATTACACCATCTCCCACTAATGGGAACCATGTGGGGATGCGAAGCAGTGCTGGTGTTCACTTGTGCTTCCATTTGTATGTTTCCGTGTGTGTTTCCTTTGTGTGTGCACTTGTGTACATGTTGTGTACCACATATGTTACTCCCCTCCCATTTGTATGTACTACCGTGTGTGTGCTGCCCCGCCGCGGTAGTCTAGTGGCTAAGGTACTCGGCTGCTGACCCGCAGGGCGCGGGTTCGAATCCCGGCTGCATTTCCGATGGAGGCGGAAATGTTGTAGGCCCGTGTGCTCAGATTTGGGTGCACGTTAAAGAACCCCAGGTGGTCTAAATTTCCGGAGCCCTCCACTACGGCGTCTCTCATAATCATATAGTGGTTTTGGGACGTTAAACCCCACATATCAATCAATCAATCAACCGTGTGTGTGCTGCAAAATGAACACTCAGTGCCTCTGGGAGAGTGCAATGGAGCGAGCGTGCACTGCATTATATGCGAGCGCACAGCTGTGACAGAGATATAAATGGGAGAGGAGGAACAAGGTGGATGCAGTGCACCTCCATTCCCATTTGTGTGTACTACCGTGTGTGTGCCGCAGAGTGAACACCCAGCGCTGCTAGAAGAGTGCGACAGAATGTACGCGCGCAGCATTATATACAAGGGCACAGCTGTGGGGAAGAATACAAATAAAGCCGAGGCAGCGCTCTGCCACCTCCTCGTGGTCACACTAAGAGAGAGGGAGAGTTGGCGTATGCGCAGTGGGGTAGCGGATGGTTCCCGGCCCATATGGGTAGTTCCTCGTCTTGCCCGACCGGCAACCCAAACGAGAAGGCTCACCAGTTAGAGCGTGAACTAGCTATTCGTGGCAGTGAGTGGCCTTTTCGATCGGGGATGCATAGACTTCAAGGATCTATTGATTACGTTTCTGTACCAGATCACCACAGCTCATAAACTAGGACGCAGAGTTTTCTCTCTTCTGCATCCTAAATTGAATAAAGAACAAGCAATTACATTTCGGCAACTACAGATGCAATTGTACATCACACCGACCATACTGCACAGACTCGGCCCAAATATCTAACCCCACTGCCCGCACTGGCATCGCAAATACTGTAATTTTAAACACATGCTCTGGTTGTGCCCCTTTAACTCGTGGTCAGAACTACCAGACCAAACCTTTCGGGAGTTTTCCACAGGCAGCACGAAACTTTATAACCAACTCCTGGCCGTCCAGTGGGCCCGGGACATCGCCGAGAGACTCCACCTCCCGCCACCATCCTGGGCGGAGCCACCTGGCAGAGCTAGCAGGGCCTCTGGTCCCGTCTAGTCTCCGTCGACTTTGGACAAATATAAATTCTCACTCACTCACTCATTCACTCACTCACGGTCAACGAGGGATGGACACAGCCCCGAGAAAAAGCTGCTTCGCATCTAAAGAAATAAAGTCATGCCTTGAGGCTCCTGTGCAGACTCACTAAAACGTATATTCTGACAGGGTTTCCTAAGGCCTACACAATAGTATATTGCTGAAAAATTGGGGTATATCCACAAAATGAATGGTGATAAGTGGGCCAAGCAGGGGGATCACTCGGTGTTACTGTAAGTCACCCATGACGTTGGCTACTCACACATGTAAATGAGTGACAAAGTGGTGTACAGTCATATAAAATGTTTATTGGTCATGACTGGCATGTTGTGTCGAGTTCCGAATTTTGTTTCGCCTTCATTATTACTGCCTTGTGTTATCGGACCTAGCCTTAACATGGCAAAGACAAGGTCAGAGCACGTTTCCCTGGTGGTTGTTTCAAGTCATACGAAATGTATCGAAAAGCGTATCGAGATGTCCAATACTGCACAAGCCAGTCTGTGGTCATTATTGTCATCGCCATCGTGGTCGTCATCGCATGTGGTGGGTACTTTGCACGTAGTGTGCATGATGGCGGAAAGAAAATGTGTGGTCCAGAACGTGCTTGTTCTTCATCAGCGTCTTTGTCATCGAGGGACTACAGCGACATTGCTCGACGCTAAGGAGCTTCGCCCATAAAATCAAATATATTGTTTTGTAAGAAACGCAAAGATGTAATAGAGCAACCTTCAGGAAATTTTATTCAGCCACTGTGGCAAAAGCACAAATAAAGAATGATATCCGTAGGGTCACACTGGCATTCAGTTGCTGGGATTTCGGTGTGAAATACAGAAACGAACTATTGACCTCTAGTTTCTCTTCAGGTAATGAATGTATGTTAGTGAAATTACTAACAATAGCATTCTGAGATCAATTTTTTCATCAGAGTAAACTGATTCAGTGCGCCATTCGATAAAGCCATGACCACATGGTGCGGTATTACCCAAACTCAAATGACGATTAGGTCTGTTGTGTGAATCCAGTTTAGCCAGCATACACAGTTTCAGGCTTGCACATTTGTTATTTGCAATACTTCATGTTTGCCTGCATCCTTAGAACAGCGGTGTTGTTAAAACCAGAAACTAGTTTACATGCCTATTCTTTCTGTAAAATGCACACTGTGTTCAGGATCAAGCCTGCACCTGGGGACAGCGACCACTCTCCCTGCGCCAGATTGATGCGTTGGTGAAGGATGTTGTGTACCTTGGAGAGCTTGCACATGTGTGCCTCGAGCAAATGCTGCAAAAGTTCCGCGCGGGTGTAGAATTCTTTCTTGGCCTGGATCGAGACTGCAGTGAAGAGGAACTGCGATGCTTGCCCCCGGTATGTTATCTACAGGAAATCACGTTAGAGCCTCTTGTCTGTCTACACATTTGCAGTTAGCTCAGTTATCGTGTTTGCTCTCACAATGATCCACCTCTGAATTGTGTCAGTTAGCAATTTTCTCAAGCAGCAAAATGATTGCACCTTGATCTTAAACATTGTGGCAATAGCAGTGATGACGCCACATTTGTCTTGTATTAGAAAGGGGGCCACCACGTCCTGTGCTTAGACTTCTTTTGTGCTGCTTTGGCACATATGGTAGTGACAATACTGTCATTAAAAGCTACTCAGTATGTGCCTGAGCATTATGCTAGTGAATATGTTACAGTCATTGTCTGTACAGCCACCACCTTGTAAGCACGGCCTTAACTAAACATGACCTGATAACCAAGGGCCATAAGTTTTTTGTGGTGTCTCCATGCTGCTTTGTAGGGTTCAATGATGCACAATCTTCAACTGCAGATTTATATTCTTTGTACACAGGATCACGTTTTGCCCATGGGCTTCAGAGATGCCCTCAAGCTTAGTGCCATGCGCGCGGCACCAAACAATACTTGCAGAAGCTATGATGAGAGCTGCTACAGAGAACATGGACATCTTGCCAGAAGGGGTGAGCGGGATGGCCTTCTTTTTCTTGTCTGTGTCGTATGCCACTGATGCATGTGTGTATAGGTGAGGCCAGTGCCTCCTCTGTTTTTTCAGTGCCCGGGCAAAGAAGCGGATTTCAATGAGAAGGGGCCGTATATGCTAGTGCGACCTTTCGCCGCCAGGCGCCGCGACTGGAGTAGAGATGCCGCCGTGTCATCTCTCGTGCAAACAAGTGTTGCGGCTGTATTCTAGGCTGCTATATGGCTCGGTTTTCAGCTATATGACTCGGTTTTCAACATGCTTGGCACCACAACCGTCGAGAAGAAGGGGGCGAAGCAAGTTCGCGTGCTGACATCGGTCCACGGTAAAACTACAGTGACGGCGATGCTCTGTTATGCCCCTGACACACGGGCACCCAGAAGTCCTTTAGACAAGGGGACATCTTTCGGAAAGGCGTTCGGGCACAGTGACACAAGATAAAGGAGTAACTCCTTTCCGGCAAAGATCCTTTTCGCAAAAGCAGATCCCGCTTCTACTTTTCTGGCAGGAAGGGAGTACTCTCGCATACATTGTGCATAATTTATCAATAGAAGAAAACATGCCGCAACACTGCGGTGCCCTGTCAGTATTTTTTTGCGCTGAGAAAATGTTTTCATTTTCAGCATCAATGCGATTTGTTCAAAAGTGAAGGCCTATAGTTTGTCCATACTGTGGGCATTTAGTATACGCATCCGCTTCACCGGTACATTATCATCATTATCATGTGTGGCTCATGCATCCCCATCGTTGTCGCGTAGCATCATCATCTTGGCTCATTCATCGTAGCTGTCGGCTGCCGGTTCCTCGGGCCTAATAAAAGGTAATCCAAACCAAGACTTCATACGTGGTGGACTGCATGGTGGACTCTCAAACGACTGCATTACGTCACTAGCGCGATCATGTTAGGGTTGGCAGCGGCAGTTGCTGTGTCGGGCTCACTCGAAAACACTGCTTAAAGTGGGCGTCGCCTAATAACGGCAATGTGTCTTCGAACCAGCGTTCGTTGCGCACATAGGCCCAACTTTCGCGGTTGATGGCTCGGGGGGACAGTGCGGAAGCACTGAAAATGAAGCTGTTCATGACGAGTCTTTGTTTGAGGCTCATCACTCTTGCCTTCGCAGCGTTTAGCTCATCTTCGATGTTGCCGAGGGCGACAAGAGTCAGGCCCACCTCAACTGTTGCTTTATCTCTGTCTCTGCGCTGAGACATCGCAGGACCACGATGAAACGCGGCACGCCGTCAGTGACCCAGCTGGACGCAGCCATGTAAACTGCACGACAAAAAACAAAAACAGCAAAACACCGACTGTTCATAGTTGCCAGACGAACTTAAGTTGCTGCTAAAAAACGCAAAAAAGCGAAAGAAAATTACAGGTATGCGCATTATAAGCCACCAGACAATAAAAAAAAAAAAACGGTTTTATGCTCCGGCGTCGCTGAATGGGATGTACATGCGCAGATTCTTTTTAATATTTCCAATCTTGCTGCTTCCACAAACCGCCATTTTTTCTGCAGCGTTCTTCTGAGGCACCGCCTAAAGCAGTAGTCCGGTGCCGTGTGTCATCAGCGCCACTACTTTCTGCAAATGGTCCCCTTAGGCGACAAAAGGGGTTTACTTCAAAGTACTTTACTTTTGCCCGTGTGTCACGGGTATTACACGTCAGATGGGCACAAGCTTCGCCCGTACCTCATATTTAAATGGAAGACGCTCCCGAAAGGAGTCTTTTTTTCTAGTGGTGTGATCGTGTGGGCCATCGAGAAAAATGGGTGCGCATTGCAATCGATGTCTTACTTTTTTTTTTGTCATGGAAATCGGGTGCGCGTTACAATCAATGGCGCGGTAGAATCGAGTAAATACGGTAGCCTTCGGATGCCTAGCATCGGGTGGAGTGACATTTTTTCCAAATCTTGCACGGATGGTTTCGTTTGACACATTTGGTATTCACGCACAGGAACTTTCAGCAAAGATCCACAGCAGGTTAACTACGTGCCGTCGATATTTTGGCACCACAAAGGAGGAACTGAGGCATCAAGAAGGAATCACGAAAGCATAGGTATTTGGATGTGTAGTTTTTCATCAACACAACCATCATCTCTATCTACACAGCTACCATGAGCATACGGCGTTTACGCTAAAATGCATGGCCGCCGGACAATGTGCAGCCAACAGCCGCACAAAATCAGGCCAATGGTTACTCTGCAAAATACACGGACACAGCATTTGTTAATGACATTAACTATAGCGATGTTTGCACAATCAGCCAGTGGTTCTGTAGGCGACGACCTGCACCGGTGGGAGAAAATGATGTGTCAGTAATGCTACGTACTCAAGAAAAGGCCCCCCACTATTCTACTCATAGAACAGGTCTAAAATGTGTTGCTGGTAATTTCAAGTGTTCCTTCAAGCATTTCTTCCATAGTAGTTAACTTATCCATGCCTGGTCTGGTGCACAAGCGAGCAGAACAGGTAACTACGCATGATAAACACGGTGGCCGACTATGAGGGTAATGCGGTCTCAGCCAGCCAGTTCAACAACGCAATGCAATACATAAATGCCAAACCAGCTCAACTTTGCTTAAAAGAAAAAGCACCGACAGGTTTCGTTTGCAAAGCTTTTTCAGCACTGCGTTCTCGTCGAGGTCATTCACGGATGAACGATTGAACGTTTTGCCATGCTGTCACTGCTGTACGCGTAGCTTTAGTAGCATAGGAAACCCCCTTGCACACGGTGAACATTGATACATACAAGTTACTGAATACCAACAATCTGAGACAGCGACAGAGCGTGCTACTACGAATGCAATAACGGCTGAGTGCCCTCACAGAAGGAAACACGTAAAAATAAGCACATTAGTGGGTGGCCTGCCTCAATATGTAAGTGTAAATTAGTGGAAAGACGTGACAACCAAGGCCACGCCACTTATTATTCTGAAAAAGTAAAAACACTATTGTGATAGCACGTACAGTCGGTTGTTAGCCACTTCGAATGATAATATTGTTTGGTAATGACAGCACATGCTTCCCTTTCGTGGTCAGTCGTGGATGCCACCATGCTACCTGTGCTAGGAATTGCAGCATATGCTTAGGTTGCCATAAAAAAAGCGTGCAAAACCTCTCCCCAAGGAGGGACTCAGCAGACGGGAGAGTTCTTGAATTGGAAGCCGGTGAAGATGGCGTGCATTCTATTTGCCTTCGCGAGTTTACACTTCACCTATTGCAAATTGGTTCTGCGAAATCCTGCAAGGTGCTGGCAATATTAAGGAAGCCCTGCCGCGGTGGTCTAGTGGCCATGGTACTTGGCTGCTGACCCGCAGATTGCGGGATTGAAACCCGGCTGTGGCGGCTGCATTTTATATGGTAGGTGAAAATGCAGTAGGCCCGTGTGCTCAAATTTGGGTGCACGTTAAAGAACCCCTGGTGGTCAATATTTCCGGAGCCCAATACGGCGGCTCTCATAGTCATATGGTGGTTTTGGGACATTAAACCTGAGGTTTAACGTCTTATATCAATCAATCAATCAATATTAAGGAAGGGAAGTTGTTGACTGCCCATTTGTAGCTCAAAGCCATGAGGCAAACCGTATAGATTTCCTTGCAACTTCTTGCTGCAAACAAGTGGTTGTCATGTCAGTTCCTCTTCGTTAATGTGCGTATATTGTTCATTCAAAACATTTGCTGTGATCGAAGTCATAGATAAAAGACCAAAGGAGGTTTTGCTCCTCCACAGGCTGTGCTGTAGTTGCTTGAATGTAATGTGACTGCAATAGATCCATCTCACTAGATGATCTGTGATGTGCGGGTTCCCGACAGCAGCGCTGACGCCATCTTAGTTGGAGTACTCGGAGGGCTGCTGGAGCGGCTGCTTGTTGTGTGTTTCAAGTATTTTGGTGTTTGGCACAAATCGTCGGCGAATAAGATGATTCAACGCTGTGTAAACCCTAGTCCAGACTTCCAGTGCATGTTACTGTATTTCAAGCTATACTGCATATCCTTGTGTTGAGGAAAAAAGAAAGCAGTCGACAATGTTTGCATGTGGCACGGTCATCTCGGCGTGTTGATGCGCTTGCGTCAATTCAGTGAATTCATATTAGTTATCAAAGAACAAGGCTTTATTCCCTGTAGTCATGTGAGCAAAAATTATCTTTGGTGAACCTCAGCACCCGAGCGATAGAAGGTACATTATGCAGTAGAAGTTACAATATGCAAAAAAGAAGTTCCTCAGACACCGCTGTTCAAAGACGAGCAAAAAACAAAGTGATAGGTCAAAAAAAAAAAAAACTTCCAAACAACATTTTTTATGTGCACTGTGTTGTCAATGCAGGTCTTTAATCACAGTGATGCGTTGAATGGGGATGATCATGAAATTGTCCGTGCGAAGCAGGCTATAAAAGCACGTCCATCAGACGGCGACTGGCCACGTGCCATTTCAAAAAGTTTACCGTCACAGAAATCATGTGAACAGCAAAATATTTTTACTGCACAATAGATGAATCGGTCAGTAAGAGGCTACGGTGATGCACACATTGCAGTAGATGAGTTCACTTCGCGGCTGCCGACGATAGCGCGACACTGATATCATCACTAGGCCTACCGCTTTGAAACTGCAGTGTGTTCACACTCGTATAAGAAGCTAAGCTTATCTACCGCTGTTGCCGATTTACGTCACGTCTATGATATCACATTTTGAAAGGAATGGGGCCATTCCGGCGGCATCGTTGGCTGAAATGCAGGCACAGCAGTTTTCGCTGGGCACTGCATGGCATGCAGCTGTGTATACGTAGAGCACGCACTTATAAGCATCACTTGTATTACAGTTCTCATTCAAGCAATACCTTCACAGTCTTCATCGCTTTTGGCAAGAAGTTCGTTTAGATGATCTCTGTGTTGCCCTGAAAACGCGTATCAAGTTTGCAGCCAATGATGGATATCGCTCCAGCAAGGGATCGAGCACCAGGGTTGTACAGGTCCTTGAAATCCTTGAAAA